TTTAAAATAAAAAATTAATATAAATTAAAAAAATAAATTATAAGTAAATTTAAATACACAAAAAATAAAAAAATAATCATTAAAATAAAAAAATAAATTAATTCGCTTCATGAAACAAAAGGACTAATTTATAATTTACTCCCTTTTATACTTAGACGACTGCTACGTACTATAGCTTAATGGGAGATGAGTCACTATGCCTTGTACACCATACCTCCTACTAGTACTGTGCTATTATCATATGTTACTTTAATGATGCCACGTGCAATATTATAAAAAATAAGAAGCCTGTTTGGGATCTCCTAACTTTTTAGCTTTTTTGTTTGTTTAAACAGTTAGGCATTTTCATACCAGCTTAATACTTCAAACTAAATCAATCTCTTTCAAATGTATTTTAATATATTTATGAGAAATTGTTTCCTTACAATTTTCTTGAATTTGAACTCGAAATAATTAAATAATAAAATGAGAAAAACAAATTTACATCCAATTTGACGTTGGTCCTGATTTATATGGAATATAGAGATTTTTTAGTGTTACTGAATGAATACTTGAATTACTTGATATTAGAGTTAATATTTCTCTACATTCCTCTACTTTTTCTTTTGCATTTAAAAGATTTTTGATACTCCAAACTAAATCAATCTCTTTCAAATGTATTTTAGTATATTTATGAGAAATTGTTTCCTTACAATTTTCTTGAATATGAAATTGAAATAATTAAATAATAAAATGAGAAAAAAAATTACATTCAATTTGATACTGGTCCTGATTTATATGGAATACAGAGATTTTTTTAGTGTTATTGAATACTTGAATTACTCAATATTAGAGTTAATATTTATCTACATTCCTCTACCTTTTTCTTTTGTATTTAAAAGAATATTCTATTAATTTTTGACTTAATATCATCCATATACGTTACATTTTGTCATCGTTATATCCTTTCGTTTTGGTTTTACTAATTGCAATAAATATGAAATTTTTTATGTACATTTTAATCTCTAAAAGTTTTTTAAAAAATTTACACCAGTCTTTTTATTTTATTTATCTTACAAATAAATTCTTCATTGAAAGTTTTTTATCACCGTATTATACAATCCATACAATTTAGTCCTTGGATTTTTTTTTCATTTGAGTCCCTACTAATCATAAACTTGATCAAAATTATTGCGATAGATATATGATACTATAAAAACAAAAAGTTAACAATATCATAATAATATCAACCATAATAAAAGAAAATAATTATGTTTTTTCAATTAATCTAATAAAATTATAATCATAAAAAAAATTTAGTATTTGAGTTATTATTTTGAAATAAAATTTATTTTTTGATTTTTTAGACATACGTCAATATGTTGTGCGAGGATGAATCGATTGACTTGTGTATGTTGTGAGAGAGTTAAATTGACATGTTTGGATTTGTAATTTTTTTAAATATTGGTTTTGTAAGCATTTAATTATTATTACTTAGGTTATTAAAAGAAAATGCATCTAAAACAATATGTAAAAAATTCAAAATCAAAATAAACCACTTTATATGTCCAAGATAATATGAGAATTTTGATCAAGTTTACTATCTGACAGATAGGAATTTAATTGAAAAAAATATATAAGAACTAAATTGTATTTATTGTAAAGCATGATGACCAAAAAAAACTTCAAATTAAAGACTCATCTATAAGAAAAATAAAATAAAGTAATTTTTTCAAAAAATTTGTTGGAACCAAAATGTACATTAACAAAAAATTTCACGCTGTCGCATCAATTTTTAACAGTACCAGTAATGCAAACTGATGAAAAAGTGTAATGAAACAACGTACGTAAATAATATTAAAATGATAAATGATGAAGAGATATTTTGAACATGAAAAGAAGATTTCGTAGATGTGGTAAAGCATTAACCCTCCAATATTAATATATAGTTTCGCATAAATCAAGGTCTGATTAATTTGTGAACTAGAGCCCACATGATCGCATGCAATCTTGAATAAGTGACTATGTGAGAAAGTGGGATTGAGGCATAGCCTAATCTATCTGATTAAACGTTTTAAGTGCGGACATGATTGATTGTCATTGAAAAATAGAATGACAGCAATCAAAGGAGTGAAAATATGCATAGTAAAAAAAACGTGATGTGATGATAGACAAGACAAGGTGAATTGTATTCAGAGGTATGATTTTCTCTTTCATCCAAGAACGAAGGAAAATTCAACTCTTGTCAACTGTATTAGTCAATTTTGAAAATCCCATTACAGTAGTCTAATCAATAAAACTTGATTAGAAATACTAGGTGTGGACTAATTTATAGGTACTTTTATTGACAAATCTCCAAAAAAAAAAAAAAAAAAAAAAAAAAAGGTAGAGTGGTTAAAAACATTTGATTTCTTTCTTAACTTCTTAGTTTAAATTTTAGAGCCAATATCTTGAAAAATTTAGTAAGTATTTTTTAATGTATTAAGTCGATATAAAGATTATATTTTTAATATTATCTAATAAAAAAATTTAATCTACACATAAATTTATTCAAAAATATATTCACCATCTCATTAGCCAAAAAAAAAAAAAACCTTCTATTCACTATGTTTTTGTACACGACATTTACACGATAAGACCAGATGAACACCGAATTAGCTATTGTTAGATTTTAGGTCCAAGGTGTAAGCACGAGTCTGAACGAAGAAAGATACCATTTTTATTATAAAATATATGCTCTTGTGATTGTTTATAAAGCAGATCTAGAGAATATAATATAGCAAAAATAACATAAAATTACAATCATATTTTATGTACCTGTTTTCTTAAAATGGTTGAACATTATGCAATTACATAAAAGTTGCACATTTAAATTCTTCATAAACTATACCATCCATTAATTTGTTAAATATAATCAATTATGACTAATTGTGTCTTTATTGTATCACTTATGTAAGGAAAAAGTTACGGCTGAAAAAAAAACGCAAAACAAATTTACATTTTTGACAAAAAAAAAACGTCTAAAAGGCAACAAAACTATATAAATTATAAAATTTTATTTTGCATAGAGAGAATGTGGAAAATGTACAATAATTACTCTATACACTCATTTGTGAGAAGAAGGATAAAAACATAAAAAAAAAAAAAAGATAATTACATTCGAACTTATCTAAAGTGATAAGAAGATTTTCACATTCATTCAATTTTTTTTATTTTCTCTCTCATGTTTCTTTGTTTATTTATTATTATTATTTTTTATCTATCTCTCTCTATGAAGTGAATATATGAAGTAATCATTGTACATGCTATTAGTTATTCCTTGAGTATTATAAAATTTATCGTCTATTTGGTGTTATTACAAAACTGTTTCAACTTTTTAGAATTGGAAACTATTGTTTCAAACTTTTTTAAGTGTTACATATATTTAGTTACTTATTTAATTTTTTAAAAACTTCTTACAAAAGTTTAATCACACTGATCGATGTAATAAGTTTTCATGTAATATTATTATATAGGACAAACAATTGATATTGTTCATAAAGCTTTTGTTCATTTATCAACCAAATGAATATTTGTTTTCAATACCAATTAAAACACAAAAATATTTTTCTTTATTATATGCATGAATTTTTTTTATCAGGGAATAAAAAAAATGATACATGAATATGGTAGTTAAAAATCAATATATTGTGTTAAGTATATATTTAAATAGGTATAAACTCGGAAACATGTATTTCTATAGAAATCCCTCATACATTATCATGAAAAAATCTTAAAGAACATCAAAAAGATGTTTTGCAAACTCACGTTTAAGTTGGAGAACTGAAAAGGATGTGTTTTTCAATTCTCCAAATACATACATACATACATACATATATATTATTTGAACATGATATTCTGTTTTTCGTTCTCTTGGGAGATAATTTGCTAGAATACTGTATTTGAACGCGTCTTACGTTTTTTGTTTTTATTTTTAGGATCACTGACCGAACAGAGTCATATGGTCCCTGTCCCCGTCCCTGACATCGATGTAGCTGAGATATGTGTATTAGATAATTATCTTATTTCGCTATCCAAAATCACTTAAGAACTCTTCTACAATGTCCCCGAGAGGCACATTTGTTGTTCCACAAGGAGCAATACCATTGTACTTATCCAAACTAATGTCTACATCTTAGTTTCCACTAAGCCATGACAGTTTCATTGCACTCTCACAATCTCCAACGTGGCTTTCAAAAGCTATCTTCTTGTGGTACCGTGTTTGCCTTAGCTAAAACAGTGTCATATCCAATAATCAGTCTTTAAGTCTCCGACAGTACCTTGTTATCCCTCTTCATCGCTTGTATCTATTCTTGAATGTGCTTTGTCAAGGAAACAGGGGGATATTGTAGGGATTAAGAAACTGTAGTTCATTGTCAGGTTTTGACAAAAGTTATGGTCCCAGAAAAAAAACTTCATTTTCTGCTAGTGGTTTCACTAACTTGAAAGAGAAACTTCCTGTTATGTGCTACTTAATTCCAATCCTAGTTCCAAGAAGATCGATCCAAGGAATGGTGTAACCTGACACGGCCAGTCCCAAGTCATGGAAAACTACTGTTGGTGGCGAAGAAGACCCACAGCTATTAAAAGAAACTGGGTTTTCCACAAGTTGCTCAAGGTGCAGCAAGAAAACGACAATAGGCGAACTTTCACAACCGAGGGGCGTGGCAAGCAGAGCATGAAGAGTGCTTGACATTATCTCAAGTTGTGAGAAGATCCAGACAGACATATCAATAGATTCTGCTGTTGCCATACCCGTACGATCTACAATGAGCAGTGGGCTTGGAACTACAAAGAATGTTGAATTGTCTAAGCCAAAGCAAACTACTTGTTTAACCCCTTAAACAGAGTTATAACTCAGCTTGTCTTCCAATTCTGTAAGAGCTTCAATTGTTTCCAGAGCTATATTCCGTTATCTTAGCTCCAATATGAAATTATTTTAACTTCAGTATTCCTTATAATGCACGCAGCAATAATCTAGTTTACGTGCGCCAATGAAAAGGAGCAATGAAATGCTCTTTCACAACTTTTCCTCGGCAACTACCTAGCTTAGAAGACAGCCAGTGGGTAAGTAGCTTCTGCCGTACTGATTGTTCCTCTCCCTCAAAAAGCTTGAAGTGGACTCATACCACCCCTTAAGACACATCCAGTACGGTTAAAGGAGACTGAAAAGTACAAGCGTTTCTAATTTGCTACTCGCCATCAGTTTCAAAATCAATTTCTAAGTTTCGGTTTCTGTCATAAAAATCAAATTAAGCATTCCAAATCGTGCGAACTTCTCAGAAGCAAGCATCCACAGGATGCTACTTCAAAATCGCCTGTGCTGTCCTAACATAATAGTATCTTCAAATAATTTTTATACCCCAGGGAGGTAGGGATACCCAAAAACTATAGCATTTGAAACACTTGGCTACATTGTTATGCAGTCCTTTCACATGATTGTCCACCATAAACGAGTGGGCTGTAATTCAACACGATGTATGCGTTGTTCGCGATAATAACTGGGAACATAAATTTTCAACTGAAGCGACACTCAAATCACAGAATAGAGCAAATATCAAATATACATAAACTTGATATAAGCACGTGGTTTCTTGTAACATCAGAGGCAATCTAGTTGATTCAATTTCAAGGTTCTGCAGTCACGTTGAGGAAGGGCGTTGAAGTCGCTTAGCAATTTCCTGCACATTGAAGAGATTGTCAGATTACAACTAAAAGTGGAACATTTAATTATAATTAACCAGTGTCTCATGCAATCCATCAGAGTAAAAATCTATTCTGGTAGTAGTATCAGGCTACAGAAATAAAAAATGCAATAATTGTCAGAGGTACCTCAAACAGTTGATTTATATTATCTGCAGTTTTTGCTGATGTTTCAATAAAGAACATACCATTCTTCTCCGCATAGTCAATTCCATCCTTCAATTAACAAAAAGAAAAAAGGAAAAAGTGTTAAAAAAATATATTCAGCACTTAGGAATGACCTATTCACAATAGCACTTACTTGAGTGGGTACTTCTCGCTTCTCATTAAGATCAGCCTTGTTACCAACTAAAGCCATGACTATATCAGCGCTGCCATGTTTTTGTAGCTCCTTTTACACAGTAGGTTATAAGCCAAGAAAATAAGCTTTCGCATAACGAGGTGAGCATAGAATAAATCATCAAGTAAAGGGTAAAGCTAAATATACTTAACAAGTCTATGAAACATCTCTGGCTAAATTCAGAGAGAAAGAGATTTACTTTCTGATAAAAGAGAGATTTTTAAATACAGACCCTTCATGATTCTAAACAAACAGTGAAAACTTCATCAACTACGGTATTTAAACACTCCTAATCTTCTAACAGATTTTGGTGGCCTCAAGTTTATATTTTCTAAACAGAAACTTTGTGCTATATTCTGAATTCAAGCTATCGAACACTTGTTCAATTTTCAAAATGTTGGGCTTACATTTCAGAATGTGAATACTTATTTTGCATACACATTCTTTTTAAACATGTTCGAAAACAATATAGCAATAGGTTCCATTTAATCAGCCAAATCACATCAAAATGCAAGGGGAAAAATTCATCACCTACAAAAATGTGTGTATGTGTGAGTGTGAGTGTGTGTGTGTGTGACTGTGTGACTGTGTGTGTGTGTGAGAGAGAGAGAGAGAGAGAGAGAGAAGATGCAATTGTGCTCCCGTAAACTACCTTAACCCAATACTGAGCTTTGTTGAATGTCTCTGGGCTTGTTATATCATACACAATAACTGCCACTGCAGCACCTCTGTAATACAGTGGTGCTAGTGCAGCATACCTGAATACGAATAAAAAATCAATAAGAGCTTTGGTATTCATGGAGTAAAGGTGATGGGAAAGAGGATCGTGCCAGAAGAAAAAAAATATTATAAGACAAAATTTTCCAATAAATTTTCAATATGAACTTGTTTGCTTGTATCTGCATGCGTGACCAACACAATAAACACTTGGTCTAGAATACCTTTCTTGTCCTGCAGTATCCCATATCTCAAACTTAACTGTTGTGGAATCTTGCAAAGCTATTGTTTGTGACAAGAATGAAGCTCCAATAGTTACCTGAAAATTCAAAACCAACAGATCTAAATAAGTTTATCAAAAGTAGTTCTAGCCTTCCAGGGCCTTTGTGTGTGTGTGAATGAGACAGAAAGAGAGAGGGAGGGAGGAAAGAAGAGGAGGAGAGGCTTAAACAACACACAAGGTGAAATGCATGTGAATGGCAAAGAATGACCGATTCCTTACCTTGGAAGTCGGATCAAACTGACCACGAACAAAGCGAAGAACAATACAGCTTTTACCAACACCAGAATCACCTAACAAAACCAGCTGTTCACAACATCGGAACGAAAAGTCAGCTGCATTCACTCTGAAAAATGTGAGCAAGAAAGCAGCAACTCAATATACTTTATTATTGTTCTTTCAAACATATACAAGAACTTAGCATTTGATTTTTACATACCCATTAAAAAAAGAGATGACTCAAATGCTCATCCGTTGTGTATTTAATCATGTGAAGTATTTTGATGGTCTACAATAAGTTACACACAAAACTTATAGTTGCACGATGCATGACATGCAGACATAAGATTTGACCTTTTAAAACATCCTTCTGAATCAGATTCGACACACACCTAAAGACAGACTTAAATTTAAAACAAACTGCAGTATATTATCTCATCAGCAAACTGGACCAAAATCAGTCAACATATGACTACAGAAGTTACCACAATGATTCACAGATTGAATTTTGAAAATTTTGAGGAATCTGAAAGTTCAAAATATCCTATTTCATCCTTATAACCAACCTCCAACAAGTAAACTGATTCCATTCTCTAATAGGAAGCATGTTGGCACCAACATATAAGTATAGTTACAATAAGCACTATTATCACCTGCATAGTGTCTGGAAAAAGGAGATAAAAGGCAAACTTTGATATAAAATCAGGGGATAGAGTATGAATCAGTCCAGGCACCAAATTTGCACATAAAACAACTTGAAAAACCATGGTTTATATGGAAAGACTAGTTCACGTGTAATTGCTCGCGATTGTCTAAATGAAGGCCAGGAAGGACATTTTCTCAAAAGTACAAACTTAACTAATGCACATTTTCATTGACAGCATTGCTGCCAAAAATCTCAAACAGCTTGGCATTAGAGCAATGCTGGTCAACTCAGCTCCCAACAAATATGAAATATTAAAACAGTACCAACTGCTAACCCAATCCCATTTCAACACTTTCTTCCTTACACGCAGAAATTTTCAGACTGTCCAAACAAATCACAGACGGAAAAAATAAAAATAAAAATAAAAACCAATCTGCAATCTGAAGTTCATAAACTTACCTTTACGCGTAGGTTTTTGGCATCAGCCACTCCACCACTCTCTGAATTGTTAAGTCCACCCAACCTGCCAGTACTCCTACCTACAAACATTTTCCCCAAATTAGCAACAATTATTAAATTAAATCAATATATCAAACCACTTCACAAACAACCAAAACACAAATAAGCAGCCACCACAATTAGAGAACCAAAACGTCGACCTGTAAAGAAAATTTAGCAAAAATACTCAAAAGGGTCACTTTATCAACAAACAACACTTCTAAACCCTAATTACAAAAAACCCATTTCCCCAATCACACGCTAATCTCACAATTCCCTTCCAACTCAACAAGTTAACTAAATTAAAGCAATCAAGCAACAACATTACCATCAAAATTTCATTTTGATCAACTTAATTTATAATAATACCAAAATCATAACCCAAGAAAGTTAGGGCTTTTAAAGATAATGAAAGATACACACACAAAAAGAAGGATTTACCTGGAAGAGAAGAGGAGCAACCCATAACCTTCTTGTTAAGATACTGTAAAATGTAATTAACACTGTGCGTATAGAATGAGTAATTAAGGTTTTATCAAGATTGACTTTTACGTTTTTATTCTCTCTTTAGCTGATCGCTAGGTCGTTAATGGCTGTTGCAATTCCATTTCATTAAGGCGTCTTTTATTGGACTGGTTTTTATTGCGTATGGTGCCACGTGTTTCTCATGTCTGTCAAAGAATTCTATGAAAATTACAAATTAGTCCCATGTTTTACGACGAATATTGTATTCAACACTCTAACTGGGGTTCAATGGCATTTGTTGACCCTAAACTATTAGAATTGTGGCAAATTGAGACTTATACTATTAATTTGGTCAATTTTGACTTTAAATTATCATGATTTGGTTAAAACATTGTCCCTCCGTTTAATTTAATTGCTAATATAAATTAAAAAATTATTTAAAAAATTTAAATTTTGGTATTTCCAAATTAAATTTTCATATAAGCTAATTAAAATTCAATTCATTTTCACAAATAATTTCATTTTTTTTTCATTTGAAAGTGTTTTTTTACTGTTTAAATAATAAAAATTTAATAAATTATAAAAAAATAAAAAAATAAGATGGAATTATCTCAAATTTATTTAAAAACTCTAAGGAAATCATAAGAATTTACATAGTTATTTTTGGTGCATTTCTCAAGATTTTTACATATGTGGTTTCCAAAATTAACCTATTTTAATTTTCGTCAAATATTATGCATTTAACTATACAAATATTTTGAGAATCATACTAAGACTAGACATATAAATTTATATGATTTTTTAGGCCTCCTAATAAAATTTGAGATCATTCCAAATCATTTTCTACTTTTTTTCAATAATGGTTAATGTTTAAGAAAAAATTCTTATTCTTAATTTTTTTTTTTAGATTATTTTGAAAAGAAAAATGAAATTTCTATTGGTATACATGAAAAATTTTAGTTCGAAATATCAAAAATTATTTTTTTAAAAGAATTTTGGTCAATAATAAATCAAATCAAATAATGATTTTTATCCAAAACGTGATAGTTTAAGGTTGAAATTGACTAAATTGATACTATACACCTCAATGAGCCACAACTTTAACAGTTTAGAAGCAAAAAAATGTCATTAATGTAAGATAAATTAAACATGCATAACGAAAATTAATAAGATACATTCATCTAGTTATTATTGATTAAGTACTTAATCAATTGTCAAAGAAAAATTGGTGCTATCGAGGAGGAAAAGTCTCCTAGTTTATATTAATATTTAAGGTTTTATGTGTGATGATGGAAGATACATAACTTGATTTATTATTTATATGGATAGATTTATAATATTTAATTTAATTTTGTACTTTTATTCATTATGGATGTGTTTAGCTCATCATTAGAGTCCAATAAGCTCTAAATTTTGAGAAATTTTAAAATAACACAATAAGTATACAATAGTTACTAATCTACTTTTAAAGAGAGACATAGATATAAAAAATAAAAAATAAAAAATTATATCCGACCCATAAAAAGTGATAACGATATTTTTACTCCAAGCTCGGTTTACTTTTTAATTTTTTCTTTGTCGTGTGTTTCTTTTTCTTTTTTATAGACATCTCTCTTATGGAGTAAATATTGATAGTTACTCTATGAGTAATATAAAATTTCTCTTAAATCTTTACTTGTCACTTATAGATTTAAAATAAAATATGACATATAGGTTACACTTGAAAATATTTCTTACAATTAAACCCTCTACTTAGTATTGATTCTCTGCCTAGCGAGAAAATGTATAGCAAATACATTAATTTCGGTGTAAATTCCACACATAAGATTTTAAAGAACATGTACTTAGTTTCATAAATGAATTTTGTTAGATTGTATATAGATACGGTGGAAATATTTCAATTTTCAAATATATGTCAGTGTAGGAAACATATAGTTTAAACAACTTATTTACCCGCGTTCGTGCAAACTTTTATGTGTCTATATATATATATATATGTTGTCAAAACAAAATTTCAAAAAAACTTAAAACATAAGCAATATACTTGTTTTATTAGATAAATATAATGATAGCTGATTATTATAATTTCACTGTAAAATTAGATCGAGTCAGTTTTCATATTAATATAGACAAAGTTTATCATTTTTTAAATTAATTTAATATCAAAATATACTTAATTTTTAGTTGATCATTGGATTATTTTTTAGGCAAAATCAATCATGTCACTTAAAAATAATTATAGTTAGTTATCCACAAATAATAGAAATTGAATATTAATTTTGACCAACTTTAAATAATCATCTGGTCAAAATTATGCAGTTTAATTCACGTTATATGTTTACAAAACTAAAAAAAATTGCAATGTTTTATACGAAAGAGTTAAAAAAAAGAAAAAAAGTTAGGATTATAATCATATATGCTCGGGGCTAAGATTTTCTCCATTTTTTGTAGCCAGCATTCCACAAAGGACTAAAATAATTTCGTATCGGTTTGAATCCTTGCCCCCTTCCGTTAACTTAATGGAATGCCTCCATGTATATAGCATGGAGACAATTAACGATAATTAATTGATGGGTGAGAAATTGGGTGTTTGACAAAAATGCCTTAATTTTTTTGTAAGGAATTTGTTTGTTCTAAGGTCTTGTTTGTAGTTTTGCATCTTTCACTCTGTGTTTATAGTTTTGAGCTTCACTTCGATATAATGCTTTTTGTAACCGGGAGATCTATTCTTTTAAACTTTTAATAAAATGGTCTCGTATTGTACAAGAAAAAAGAATACAAGGAGTCGATGATGAGATAGGAGATGCCAAATTGACGGCAAACGATGCATATTCTGCTAATTAATATGCATGCGGTGAGGATATGATAGATTAATGCAATATTTGAAAAATTATGACGGATCGAAATTATACATAAAAATAAAGTAAAAATATAGTTTATTTATTCATTTATTATTTGAAATACTATTTACATAATCACAAATCACTATTTATTTCATTATTCATGTTATTTTATAGCAATTTAGTCCTCAAATTTTTTATTTTTTATTTAATTTCAAACTAATTGCATTTTGATTTGGTCCCATTTTATTTTAATTATTTTTATTTTTAAAATTTATTATTTTAATTTATTATTTTTTAATATAGTAATACGTTATTAATATTGTGATCATAATATAATAATATTATTTTTATACACTAAGCATTAACTATTTATTTATTTTTTTAATTAAATAATTAAAATAATATTTTGGCTTAACCACTCAATGATTCAAATTAATATAGTTTTTTTTATTATTTTAATATTATTCATTCTTTTGTAAATAAATATATAAAAATTAAATTCATATTTTTTCAAAAACCCATATTCTCATCAATATTAAATAAAAATAATTATTTATTCAATTCTATGTAAGCTTTTAATAATTATTATTTATGTTTTTTGACACAATCTTATGAAATACTAAAGCTTTTTTAAAAAATTTATTTATTTTTTTTAGTTAATAATCAATGGATTAACAAGGATAAATCTTTTTTCTAAAGAAACAAATATGAAAAATACAAATAAGAAATATTTAAATACAAAATTTTTATTAAAAAATTATAAATAATTTTTTTCACCTTTGATTTCATATATTTTTATAAAGTCACACCATAAAACAAACTATCAAGCTAAAATGATTTCTCTAAACGATTTTATATATTTTATCCAACTCGCAAGCATAACGCGGCCAAAAAACTAGTAGTGAAGTATACTAATATAAGCAAGAAGTTTGGGCACAAAAAGGACTAAAAACATAAATTTCTTTACAAACAAAATTATTTGGGACAGATTTTGGCTAGACAAAAAGGACGTAAGAGAAATGATCCCATAAGAACAATATACGTTTATGAAGTCTTTGATCATGTTTCTTTCACATGCATTTGTTTCAACTAGCTAGCACTATTAATTAAAAGTCTTAAAACTTATTTTGTTTTCTTGATCATCTCATGTTGCCATACACTTTATATATAAGATAAGCAAAGATCATATGCCTTCAAAGTCACTTAGCTAGCTAGGCATTAGCCATAGACATACTTGGAGCTAATGGTCAGAAAAATATTGGCATTTTGAAGTTTCGGGTCGTGGCAGAGAAACTACAAAACAGTCTTTCGCTAGGTTGGAAAGAAGCCTCAGAGCACAAAAAAATTGACGAAGATCATGGGAAATCCACTTCATTACCGAAGGATGTGAAGGTAGGTCACTTTGCCGTGATTGCGGTCGAAAAGGGCAAGCCAAAGCGATTCGTAGTGCCTTTGATCTACTTAAACCATTCAAGGTTCTTGATGTTGTTGGAGCAAGCAGCCGAAGAGTTTGGTTTTGATCATGAAGGTGCACTTAGCATTCCTTGCCTGTGGAGTGAAATTGAAAAGTTATTAGCCAGCTACAATTGAAGAAGGCAATATACATGCATCTTTTTAAAGATGATATATCATAGTTTTTCCTTCTTTTTTTTTCTTTATACTCTTGATTTTAATATCTGTAGAAACCATGACTTCCAATGATGCCTTGATGTTGTTTCTTCTTTGTAGTTTAATTAACCAATG